AATGTTCGCATTTTCCAGCTGGGGGATGTGCCAAGGGTTTGAGATGTATCCTTAGAGAACGTCAAGGGTCTACTGTGTTGAATCTTGATTAAGGAGGTTTGCAGAGCTCCTCTTTATTAAAATTAAACCAGTTCATTTTTATCAGGGGTCCTCCGATCTGAAGATAGCTTCAGCATTGAATGCCAAGCCCGGGAGTCCAATGGATGACTGAACAGACTGTCTTTGGTGACAGAGGCTTGCAGAGTATGTCATGTATGTACAACACTGCTTTTATTTTTTCTACTCCTCTCTATTATTTTTCAGTTTTTCTTTGGATCCCAGTCATACATAACATTACTCATTTTTTTTAAACCGGCCCTGAACTCCAGCTCAAGGACCCATGGACATTCAGAGAGTTGCCAAGATTCCCAAGACTAACTTCTATATGCTTCTCCCTGGCTGTGCTCCCCCCATCTGAAGAGTGTTCTCAGTTCATCTCTACTGCACACCTGATATGAAGCCTCATCCTTCTCCTTTTTTCACAAGGATGCCAGCTACACCTGGCATTCTGAAATGCTTGGTAAGAGCGGAGGAATCCCATTTCTCACACACGCATGGTTTTCACCAATGGGCCAGATGTATGGCCCACGCACATGTTCCCAACCTTTACCCTCCCAAAAAGGCAGCCCTCTGGAGAGTGTGGTTCGGTCACCTCCCCCTACCAACCTCTGCCTTCCAAGCCTGCTGGGAGTTCAGAGAATACCTTTCCTCCATTTTATTATACCAGTATCCCTTTAGTCATATACATAGAAACTTTGGACAGTTCTAAGCATTTTCTATCATATTCAATGACCTGTTACTGATGGTTTTTTAAATCAAGTTCAAAAATGTCTTCCAGTAACTTGCCAAAAATGATGGATTTATGTGCATCTACAAAGTGAGCAATATTCTTCAGCTACTTTTAATTATGGTCTTCATATTTGTGACATATGTATTGAGTTTAAAAAGCATCAGGAATCATTTTCTTCTACTTCTATTTTTCTTGGTGCCTTTGTTTTGGAGTAAATTGTTACCAAAGTAATTGGGAGTGGGTCAGGCAAAGCTAAACACTGCTCCTGTAACTCCTTCCAGTTTTGAGCACAATGTCTGAATTGAGTAAACACCACAGCTTAGCATTAGGGTGTTGCCATGACATGTTTTATTTTTATTTATTAATTGAGAGAGAGAAGAGGAAGAGGATGAGGGGAGGGGGAGAGAGAGACGTCCACTTGCTGCTCCACCCACCTATGCATTCATTGGTTGATCCCTACCTATGCGCGCACCAAGGGTCAGACTCGAAACCACGGTGCCTCGGGGCCATGACATTTTTAACTTGTTTCCTGATGAGCATTTTAACCGTGCACTGGTGGTGAGGAGCCCACATTCCCCACACTGAGGAAGGAAATGCACGCCACCAGGGTTGATCTCTCATCTTTGTCATTGGGTCACTTCTAACTGCAGCAGTAGAGTCTCCAAGTTGGGAAGCTCTACGTGTGTCACCTGGCACAAGACAAGTTCACATGTTTCCTTCCTTCTTAGCTAGCGTCAGACGTTAGAACATGAGCACTACTAATACCAGCATAATAGTTCCCTGCTGAAATTCAGCAAAAGATCATAAAGTTCTCAATTAATTTCAGCAGGCATTATCGCGTTAATTTTGATCAGTAAGCCCCTGGCTGTCCAGAAACCCTGGGGGTTCTGTAATCCTGCACAAATGCAGTTTTTCATTTAAGCATTGTGCTAAAAATCATTTGGAGTATATTTCAAATTCTAATACCTTTTAAATTGGACACACAAATATCATTTAAACTTCTCTTGATATGTATGGACCACTATGAGCACCAGTTATTATGGGTCCTGAAGACCTATCAAAATATATAAAATTTCATTGACTTGCTTATATTACTTACATTAAACAATTTTTAAAATTCTGTGCTTTAAAGCTCTGTGTCTTTTACATTTATTTAAAGTTTTTTTTAGTTTTTCTGTTTCTTACATTACTAGTACTTCTTACAGACATATGCCAAAAAAGAAAAAACCTTAATAACCCTTGTACAGTATGTTCTCAACCTCTTCCAATTTGCTAGGTGTGTTTGGCAAACGAATAACTAAGCTTCTCAGAAGTTCACATAAAAAAAGAGTCCTAAAATAGGGTATGAAATTCTCTGCAATGGTCATAATACAGGAACTGTAGCTCATGGATTCAGGGCATCTTTCTTAGTTTGTGACTTAGGTCCCAACTAGGTAAATGTGAGGTCCAGGCTGTTGCGGTATTGGCCTAATACCCATCGGCTACAAGCACGTGTTACTTTCAGCCCATCTCATTTTCTTCTCAAGCTGCTCCAGTGGGTTTGGAAAGGCTATGATGATTACACCCACTTTACGGATAAAGAACAGCATGGGTCAAGGGCTTTGGCCAAGTCTGGCTGCAAACGCCAGTGCCGCCTGTTCCTCTGGCCCCGCCTTCCCAGGATATCCATAGATTCATAAATATGTTTTGATTCCACTGGAAAGGCCAAGAAGAACAGCATGTTGGGGCCTCCTTGACCAGCAGTGTTGAGAGCAGGAAGGAACCTGAAAGATAGCAGGGAACTCACAGAGTGGGAAGTGAGTGAGCAACAAGTTAAAAACTATCCAGCTGTCACACAGCTTTCTTAATGTTATCTTCCATCAAGCCGGGGCCGCGAATCTGCCAGGATTTCAGACTAAGTGCATCTTCTTCTTGCCTGTAACTTTCACACACTAAATGCCCCAATAGCTCACTCGGCAAGGGCCCAAAGTCAGCCCACAATTTTCTACTGCCACTGAAACAGAACGGGCAAGACAGCTCAACAACAGTGCCAGCTGAGCACATCATGATCCATTGCCCCGGCGTACACCTTAGAAGTTGGCCCTTAAAGAGAACCACTGGGGTATTAAGAGAAAAAAAATACCTTAGCCCAAAGGGGCCACACTTCCTCACCATATTAATAAATCTGCCCAGCAGCCCTAGGCTGAGGCACTCAGGGGAGCGATAAAGAGGCCCATGTCACAATCCTGTCCTGTGAGTGCCACAGCGAAGCAGAGCGGGAAAAGAGAGAGAGAGCCAAGTGCTCCACACACCTTCCTGCCGGCAGATATCTCAGTGGGACAGCTGTTCTCCTACCCTACAAAAAAATCCCACAAAATTTGATTCAAGAATGTACAGGGCTCCAGCTTCTGCAAGTCATCACAGCTTTAAAGAGCACAAGTCACACATCTCGGCCAGCGTCTGAAGTCTGCTCACAGACCTACAGCATAGCCCGACACCGGAGCAAAACTGAAACCCCAGTGGGGCAGAAACTCTTCCCCTCAGTGGGGAGCATAGAGAACAGCTGGGACCTAAAACAAGTGAACGGGGCAGGCACCCTGGATTCAGATTTCATGTTAGTTAGGAACCTAGGGGGTCCTGCAGGCGTGATTCCAACCTTCTCCCTACAGGGGTAAAATAACCACAGGACAGCTCAGACAGGCAATGACTGGGTGAAGGGGATGGGGGAGGGTCGTCAGATCAACAGTGACCCAAAGCCAGTTCCACCGTGTCCCCAACAGATATGTGATCTTTGCCTCTGTTCTTCACATAAGTTGCCCCAATGGTCCTTCCTCCTCTCCACACTCTCCCTGCCCCCAGCGTACACATAGTTACATAAAAACATCTTAAACGTGGGGAGCCAACTTCCTCAGTCCAGGGGAGGACCAGGAGATGATGAGGAGCTGCAGGAGCACAGGTCTGATCTTTACTGGGGGCCGCGCAATCACACAGACAAGGGCTGAAGAACTGGCAGATCAGTGCAGCTCACACCTCACTCTCCCCCACTCCTCCCCCAACCCCAGAAAGCAAGCCAGTTTTAACACTACAGAAGCACACAGCGTGGCTGGGTGGCTCCTGCAGGCTGCTGGTTACCATGACAAGCACTGCCGGGAACTTGAGGGTGTGTAGCAGAAAGAAGATCCACATGCTGCTCATCCAGGGCCCCGGCCCCGCAGACGGTCCTGCCTGCAACCACTGCCCGCAAAGTTCAAGGGACTGTCTGCCAAGCCACAGAGGTCCACTGGACCTCTGCAATGTAAACCAAAGCAGCCCCTTTCAAGGAAACCAACGCCTGGCCCCCGAGTCCCGCTATACCACCACTGTCCAAGTCTACGCGGGTTCAGGCTCTCCACCTCGCTCAAGAGTCCTCAGACAGCCTGTGCAGTCGCCACAGGGACCATGCAGCACCAGCAGTGTTTCTAATTTTAAAAGATGGTAAAATATGGGGCACAACTTGGAGAAGGGGCACCCGCTTTGTCTAGTGGTAAAGCAAGAATCCCCAAGAGAGTAAGAGTTTGGTTTTTGTTTTGTTTTGTTTGGAGAGGAGGGAGGTTGTGATTTTGTTTTAGAATATTTGGGGGTGGGGCTAGGATTAAGGAGAGAAGGGAAGAGCTTCCTTCTGCTTTGACACCCAGCATTCTCCGAATCTCATTCCCCACCAATCGGGCCACAGACACCACAGAGCAATCCAGGAGCAGGAGCCAGGCTAGCAGCAGAAAATGTAGGTGCTGCAGGAGTGAGGCATTTGCGCGACCAGCTGAGGCTCTTTAGAGCACGATCGCCAGTGCGCCGGTGCGGAGAACAGTTGCCAGCCAGCGAGCGAGCGAGCGAGAAGCGTGCGCGGCGCGCACAGGGTTACAGCCACCGCCGCTGCTGCTGGTGATTGACGCGCGGGGTCACTTGAGGCTCGCGCTGGTGCCCCAGCACCAGGCCAAGCAGCCCGCTCAGCCCACCGAGGGCACCGCACGACACGCAGCTGCCCACCTAGCCGGCCCTTCGTCTCAGCCCCCGACACCGTGCCTAAGAAAGGCAACGACAAGATGGAATCGCGGCTAGCTATTTCATCTCCGCTGGGCGACCGCGGGCAAAACCACAATAAATACAATCAAGCACAAGGAATTCATCCGCCGAATAAAAATCCAGAGTCCCCTACCTTGGGCCTTGGGATGGCAAACTGGTCCTGTGTTCTCTGACCCACGGATTCAGCCCCTTCTTCATGAATTATTCCGGTCAGTCAGGATTTTGTGCATTTTTTTCATGAACACCTGTTTCAAGTAAGGGGTAAAGACCTTATTGAAAGAATTGTCCTTAGAGCAGAGTCTGTGCACAGATCTGTCCACCCAGGCATGCATGCGTGTTTGTGTACACACATATGCACACGGAATATGCATGTACATTGAAGCACCAAACTAGGCAGTTGGATAATGGGAGAGTCGGCTGGTTGTGAGCATGCTCGCGCCGGGGACAGATCCACCCTCTGTTATTCCTCTGAATAAATATAAATCACGATCAGAAAGCCAAACAGCAGCATCCCTCTCGAATTCCTGCTGCTGAAAAAACACGGAATAAATTCCGTCCACAGACACAGAATCTAATCAGCAGCTGTTTTCTGAGTCCGGAGCCAACCCATGCCTTGCTTAGCTTCTTCACTATGAGTCCAGACCTTTTCTGAAAGGGGTTTTAACCTTTTAAAGACACAGTACACCAATTATCACTTCTGAACAGCTATTACTCCCAGCACAGGAAGTCAGTCCCATGCCTAAAGCCACAGGGCAGACTTGCACACAGTGGTAATGATTTCATTTATCGATGACTTTTAAAAATGTGTCATATGTATAAATAAATAAATTAAATAAATAAATAAATATATATATATATATATATATATATAGAGAGAGAGAGAGAGAGAGAGAATGCAAATGCAAGATGAAACCAGACACATTTATTGCAGGGATGAGCTCCTCAGTGATTAATCAGCACGTTATGTAAACACTATGACCCTTCACTTATGAACACACCTGTTCATGGGACCAGATGACGCAGGCGTCACCCCTCATGAGCCCCTACCTGCTGATAAAGGATGGGGGGGAAGCTGGCGCAGGTGGCTGAAGGAAGTAGGGATTTCTACCACCTCAGATTTAACTGTAGGGCGCCCACCCCTCACCCTGTCCTGCCCTGCAGCCTCAGGGGCCACATCCTCCACCCAGAGAACCCTTGGGGCACGGCTTCTAAACTATAGTGTCATCTAGGACCAGGTCTTGCCTCAAGACACATTAAAAAAAACAAACAACAAAACAGAATCTGGAATCAAATCTACCACCTGACCCTTTACGTCCCTAAGATATAGGCTCATACCCTTCTTTAAGATTTTGTTAACAAGACTTTTTTTAACTTTATTTTTTTAGGGCAAGGTTGAGCATGGGCTGAGGTCAGGGATAAACAACCCTCAGCCCAAACATTTAAAAAAAATTTTTTTGTCAAGTATTTCAGCCACTCAGATGTTTTCTCTAGTTTTATTTTAGCTTTTAAAGAGGTAGCAATGAGAAGAAACAAAAACTCCTAACCTCGTTTATGTTTGGAAGGAATAAAAATGCCTTTCACAGCTGGGTTTTTTTTTTTTTCCATCCTGGGTGCCCTGAGCCTCAGAATGGCACCAGGTGCTTCTGCTCTGGCTCCCAGCTTAGCTGAAGAGCAACCCAGTTTTTCTACGGCCACTCCCCAGGGCATGTCCCTCTAGCCCCAGCATCAGAGCCAGTGCACTGTCACCGTCCCACTTCGTCACAGGTGCTGCCTGCACCGCCCCCCTCCCAGACACACACACACACACACACACACACACACACACACACACTCCCTTCTCTTCCCCCATCCAGGCTCTTTAGCAGAAAAATTATCATATTTCATGTGTCATCGCTCTAGCTAGCTGGGCCTCTCACTGATTGGCTGGGCACTGGCAGCCGGAAATGTCACCAGCCATATACAGCTTGGAACTGTCTCTCCCACGGCCACCTCAGGCCATAGCCCAGGAGGCTATGTGACAGGCACATGCCTACCACAGGGAGCCTGTCAATCCTCCCCATGGTCCAGCCCATACCCTCTCCCTGCTCTTCTCTCTACCCAGCCCCTGGGGGAGGGCATGGGGAGGAAGTTCACATTTGTGCTGAAAGCTCCAGCTGCCTCCAACCACAGAGAGAGGGAGCCACTGAAAGTCTTGTCCTTGCCAGCATATGAGGGGAAAAACTAAAGGGGTCTCCATTAGCTTTTAAAGATATGGAACAAGAGTTCTTGACAAAAATAGTGTCTCCTCACTTTAAAAAAAAATTATCAGTAAGGCTGAGTGAAAACAAGAGTTTTTACTCTCAGAAGTATTCTGCTGCTGTTTATTTCACATCTAACAGCACAGGCCCCGGGATATCATAATCATAATATCTTTAGGAGGGCAGGCAATCCAGAAGGTAATTCCGTCCATCCTCTGCCCTTAAAAGAGAACAGCTCTTAACCCTTCAGAAAACTAGCCAGAGGAGTCTTTATAACTGGGCCACGCAGGTTTCAAAGAGCTAAACAGTCTTGGTAGTGACCAACCTGAGTCATTTCGGCTGTAATTTAAGCTTTGTCCGTCCTGCAGGTTTCATGTGACTCACCGTGTAAGTCTCACCTCATTCTGTGCTCCTGACTAAGGTAAAGCTTGCTCTCTGGACCTTGCTATAAAAGTTGTTTTTCCAGCCTTTCATCATGCTGCTTTATTCTTTAGACTTTGAGAGACAAGCCTTCCCCAAGCCAGATGAGGCTGCAAGATCATTTGGTCCAGCCATCCATAGGATGCTTCAATCCCTGCTACTGGGGTTTTGGATTTTGGGGATGGAATATTGGACCCAGGAATTTACCCTCTCCTACTCCTCTAAAGAAACAAAAATTATTTGACCAAAACATCAGCGGCAGTGCTGGGAACCATCACAAAAAGCCATCAAAAGCCAACAGTTTGTAGACTATGGCAAAGATACTGAGCAGATGGGATGTGAGGAGGAACGCTGATTAGTGCTGATGAGCTCATGATTCTTCACAGACCCCCGAAGAAGTGCACAGGTTTCCAGAAAAAGCCCTGAAAAAGTCCTGAAAAAGTCCAAACTCAGAGGACCAGAGACTGGATGAGGGTCAAGGGCATCAGTTCAGCAGCAAATTAAAGGACGTCAGGAACTAGGGTGGCTCCCTCCACAGAGAATGGCAGTCATTTCACACTGTCTTTGCAAAGTGAGAAATTTGTCCCTAATGTGCGTGGAAGTCCGAGACTGACTAGGGGCAAGACCCTAGCTCATTTGAGGATACCAAAAAGAAAAACAAAACGAAGAAGAAAAAGAGATTTCAGTAACAAGATAAGACATAAGATATAACTGAGAGATTCAGAAGATTCAATATTACTTTTCTAGGAGTTCCAGAAGGGGACAACATAGTCAATGGAAGGAAGAGCAATAACCCAGGAAGAACTCGAAGAACAGTTCCTTGAGCTAAAGAAAGACTATAGGCCTTAGGTCACAGGGATCTGTTGAGTGTGGGGTGGCAGGGTTACTGAAAAACACACAATTCCAGATGTAATCTGAATCTCCGAGAACATCGGAGATACAACTGCAAGCTCCATGACAGGAGAGAAAAATCGAGCCACTTAAAAGAAAGATAATTAGACACATCAGCAATGCTGTGTGACACTATGTGACACTATTTTTATAGAATTCTAAGGGAATATTATTGTAACTTGAGAATTCTACTGCTGCCAAACTAATTTCTCTCATATGTGATGACAAAAAAAGGCATGTTCAAAGACATAGAAATTATATCACCCAAATACTCTTTGTTTTAAAAATATTACTTAAAATTCTATTCTAGCTAAGAAAAAAAATAAGCTGAAATAGGGAACTCAAGAAAGGAGAAGACATATTATATAAGAAAATATAATGAGAACTAAAGCCAATAATTTATGTGATTGGGAAGTTTAATTATTATAAAGAAGTGTTAAAAGATAACTTCCATATGATTTCAGTGGATGAGTTAGTAAAATCACTAGAATAAAAAAAGGTGAGAATTATTATGGAAGGCAGACAATTACAGTTCCATCTGTCTCATCTGTTTCCAAGATGACATTAACATGATAATAAGGACTTTTTTTTTAAATCCATTTTTTTAAAGATTTTATTTATTTATTTCTAGAGAGGGGAGGGAGGGAAGGAGGGAGGGAGGGAGGGAGAGAGAGAGAGAGAGAGAGAGAGACATCAATGTGCAGTTGCTGGGGATTCTGGCCTGCAACCCAGGAATGTACCCTGGCTGGGAATCGAACCTGGGACACTTTGGTTCCCAGCCCGCGCTCAATCCACTGAGCTACACCAGCCAGGGCTGATAATAAGGACTTTTTAAGTTGACAGAAACAATGAAAAAACAGTAGAAGAATAGAGGGGGCTAAATTTATCTAACATAAATACATGCTCTAAAGCTACAGTAAATGAAACGGTACAGCACAACTGCAGAAACCTGCAAAATGGACCGATGGCCCTGAATGAAGTCAAGACACAGATTCAGCGTTTGCTATGTGAGAGGTAGGTGATAAAAACTCAGTTTTAAATCAGTGGGAGAAAGAATGGATTATTTAATAAATAGTGTCGGATTGTGACTATTTGAAAACAATGAAGTATTACTTCTAACTAATACCTTATACAAAATATATTCTACTTTCACAAATAAAAAACACAAGGAAAAATAGACCAATAAATCACAAAATTTATAAAGTTTTTTTGTCTAATAGTGGAAAGAAAAAATAGGGTTATCTAGTCTATGTTTATCTAGTCTATGTAATCCATTGTGGTAAGCTAAATAATGGTCCCCAAAAGATATCTAATTCCTAATCTCTAGAAACTATAAATATTACGTTACATGACAAAAGGTATGATTCCTTTAAGGATCTTGAGATGGAGAGATTATCCTGAATTTGGGGGGAGGGCCCTAAATGTCATCACAAGTATCCTATTAGAGGCAGAGGGTAGATGAGGAAGTAGCATCTGACCACAGAGTAATGTGGCCACAAGCCATGGAAACCTGGAAGCCACCAGAAGATGAAAGAGGCAAGCAACACGTTCTCCCCTAGAACCTCTGCAGGGAGCCAAGCCCCACTGACACCTTGATCTCAGCCCTGTGAAACTTGTATCAGATTCCTGGCCTCCAGAATTCTAAGCTAATAAATATGTTGTTTTAAACCACAGAGTTTGTGGTCATTTGTTACAGT